CTCATTGCATACTCCTATGATAAAAATAATGCCCTAAAATATAATACTCATATACATTGTTTTACACACCAGACCTTTCCCCTTTCCTTTACCAATCCCTCCCTCCACCTATCAAATTGTGCAACACTGTGTTTTAGCCTTGTCCCCCACCCCCCCCGACTTCTTTGGTTCTCGTACACACTGTACGATAATGATCCTACGCAGTATTTGTTTTTATGAGACTGAGTGAGTTCACTTAACATAATGCCTTCTAGGCCCTCCTATGTTAGGTAGTAATTTACAAAATCATTGCTCCTGAATGCAGCATAGTATACCATAGTTTCTCTATCCATTCCATTGTTGTTGGGCATCTGGGCTGTTTCTGTGTTCTTGAGATAGTGGATAAACACTGCTATGAACACTGGTATACAAGTCTGTTTGTGCCTCAGTTCTCATTTTCTCTGGGTATATTCCAAGCCGTGGAATAGCTGGGTCTTATGGAATCTCTATATTCAGCTTTTTGAGGAAATGCCAAACTGCCTTCCATAGTGGTTGTACCATTATACAATCCCCCACCAATAATGTATAAGATTTCCTATCTTGCCACATCCTCTCCAACATTTATTACTTGTGGCCATGCTAAACTTTGCCACTGCTATGGGGTAAGATGGTATCTCATTGTGGTTTTGACTTGCAATGCTCTAATTGCCAGTGATTTGGAACATTTTTTCATGCATCTGTTGTCCATCTGAATGTCCTCCTCTGTCTTTTTCCTCTTTTTGTAATTGAATTATCAGCCTTTTTTGTCTCAAGGCCCTGTAGGATTCTGTAAACTTTTGTTATGAGACCCTTGTCTGAGATGGTATTGCCGATTGTTTGTTTTGAAATAATATAAAGCATCTTCTCAGACCACAATGCCATAAAACTAGAAATTAACCACAGACGGAGAAAGCTTATAAAGCCATGAACATAGAAGCTAAATAACACCCTTCTTGAACACAATTGGGTTATCGAAGAAATAAAGAGTGGTATTAATAAGTTCCTTAAAACAAATGATAATGAAAACATAATGTACCAAAACCTTCAGGTTGCAGCTAAAGCAGTCTTCAGGGCCAGTTCATAGCAAGAAACAAACCCATTTTAAAAAAATAAGAAAGAAGCAAAATAAAGGATCTACCTCAACACCGTCATCAAATAGAGTAAGAACAACAATCTAACCCAAAAGCCTCTAGAAGAAAGGAAATGATACAGATAAAACATAATTGAATTTTAAAACTATCTTAATAGTAAATTTGATATATTGAACACTAGTGACTGCAAACCAGATAAGTTGTAGGAAATCAGACATAAATAAACAACAACAAAAATAGTCACTGAAAAGAAAATACCAAAATGAATGTCTGAAGAGAAGCTGAAGCTTGGATGTAGAAACTTTGAATGTAGAAAAGCCAAAGGAAAGGGAAGAGATTACTAAGTTTAGCTCTTTAAAAGAGCTCAACAAATTATTTCAAAGGCCAACTTAAGTTAAAAAAACAAACAAACCCATAATGCATAGGAATGATTATATGAAACACAATATGAATAAAGAGTAATGTGAAATAAAAAGTATACAAACTTTACGAGCAAACGAATATAAAATAAAATTTTAAAAATGAAGACAAAAGTATTATAATGAAACATGTAAAGATCTGTAGTCAGAAAATAAAAAGGGTTGAACTTGGTTGGTATTTCTCCAAATAAAAGAAGTGAAGGTAAATTTCAAGCCTTGAGTTTCAATATTCAAGAATTCTATGGGAAAAAAATAATGAAGCAGGAAGCAACAAAAGGAAATAGAAGGAATACACTGAGCCACAGGACCAAAAAGAAATGGTAAACATTGAACCATTTCAAGAAGCAGCATATAATCAAGAACTAATGGCACTGAATGAAGAAGTCCAAACTGTACTTATTGACTATGAAAAGGCACTGGCAAAAAATAAGCTTCCTGGAATTAAAGCAATATCAATTAACATGTTTCAGTAAATAAATGTGACCCTGAACATGCTCACAAGTCCATGCCAAGACATTTGAAAGATTTGAAGATATCCATATTTTTTCTATTCCAATAAAATAGGTAAGTATGAATGAAATCATTAATATCACACACAGGTACAATCTCGCTCAAGATTATTTTTAAATGGCTGTAACAGTACATTAACAGAATCCTTCCACTTCTAGAACTGTCAGAAATTAGAGTCAGAAGAGGCCATGGGACAAGAGATACCATTATTAACATCAGATGGATCTAAGTTGTAAGTAGAGAATACCAGAGATATGTTTATCTGTGTTTTATTAACTATGCAAAGACATTCTACCATGTGGGTTGCAATCAACAAAGGTTAACATTGAAGAGGATGAAAATTCTGGAACCTATAAATGTGCTCATACAAAACTGGTACTTAGACCTAGAAACAATCATTCCAGCAGAAGAGGGAGATACTGTGTAGCTTAAAATCAAGAAAGGTGTGCATGAGGGTTGTAGTCTTTCACCATACCTATTTGATACGGATAACAAGAAAATAATTCTAGAAACTGGACTATATGAAGAATTTGGCATCACAGTTGGAGAAAGACTGATCAACAACCTATCTTAATAGGTGACAAAACCTTGCTTGTAAAAAGTAAAGAAGACTTGAAGAACTCATTGAAGAAGACAAAAAACTACAAGTTTCACTATTAATTACGTTTAACTAAATAATAATGAATGAAGACCAGAAGCGCTATGGGATGATATCAAGGATATTATCCATGAAGAAACAAACGGTCATTAGAAAGGCATAGGAGGAAGAAAGCACTAAAATGGATGTCAGAAAAGACTAAAAATTGCACTAGAATGTGGAGAAGCCAAAATAAAGGGGGGAAAGCAAGAAATTAAAAAGTTGAACAGAAGATGTCAAAGGGTAGCTCATGAAGACAAGACAGAGTATTACAATGAAATTTTCAAGGAACTGGAGTTAGAAAATCAAAAGGGAAGAATTCGCTTAACATTTTTCAGGTAGAAGGAACTGAAGAACAAATTTAAGCCTTGAGTTACACTACTTAAAGATGTTGTAGGGGAAATATTGAATGATCCAGAAAGCATTCAGAAGAAGACAGAAGAAATACATGGAATTGCTGTACAAAAAAAAATGGCTAACACAGAACTATTTCTTGAAAGGACATGTGATCAAGAACCAATGGTAAAAATAAATAAATAAATTCTGAGAAATAAAGGAGGAGGTTCAAGTTGGCAAAAAACCAATGCTCCAGGAACTGATAGAATACCAACTGACATATTTCAACAAAAAGGTGCAACCCTAAATATGTTCAACAGGTTATGCCAAGAAACATGGAGAAGAGATAATTTGCCAACTGACTAGAAGGCATCCATATACATTCATTGATTTTAAAAAAGCCCAAAACCAAAAAAAAATACCATAGTCCAATAGAATGTAGGAATTATCAAGCAATATCACTATTACATGCAAGCAAAATCTTGCTGAAGATTATCCAAAAACTACTAAAATGTACACTGACAGAGAACTTCCATAAAGCAAGTTTGGTTTAGAAGAGGTCGTGTCACTAAAGATCTCACTGCTTATGTCAGCTATATCTTGACTGAAAACAGTACCAGTACTATTTGTGTCTTATTGTTGGTGTGTATCTTCAAGTCAGAACCGACTGATAGCTGGCCCTCCAGTGGGTTTTCAGAGTAAGTTAATTGCACAGGAGTAGTTTGACCATCTTTACTCCTGTAGAGAAGCTAGTGGATTCAAACTGCATGCCTTTGAGATTGTAGTGCAAATTCTTTAGGTCAACAGAGCTCTTGTTGACTATGAAAAGGCATTTATTTGACTGTGTGAATAACAAAACATTGTGGCTAACAATGAGAAGAATGGGAAAGCCAGAATACTTGATTGTGCTTATGTGAATTCTATACCTAAACTAAGAAGGTAACTAAGAGCAAGGTAACACTACATGGCTCATAATCAAGAAAAGGGTTTGTCAGGGATGCATCCGTTCTCCATACCTTTTAACCTATGTAATGAACAGATCATTCCAGAGACTGGACTTCATGAAGAAAAATATGACATCAGAAATGGAGGAAGACTTATGAACAATCTGCATTATGTAGATGATACAATCCTACTTGTTTAAACTATGGTAGACTAGAAGTATTTGCTGCATAAGAGAAGGACTGTGGCCTTTAATATGGATTGCGTCTTAACATCAAGAAAACAAAGATCCTAATCACAGGACCAATAGGCAGCATAATGATAGAGGAAGAAAAGATTTATTTCACCTTGCTCAGATCCATAATCAACACTCTTGGTACCAGCATCCAGGAAATCAAAAGACAAGTTGCATGGGGAAAAGCTGCAGCTAGGGATTTCACCGGAGTGCTAAAGAACAATGATGTCAGTCTAGAGACTGGATGTGACTGATCCAGGCTATAGTCTTCTTAATTGATTGCTGTACATCTGAGAGACAGCTAATTAATTAAAAAGGATGAGAGAATTATTGGTACCTTTGAGTAGTTGTGTTGGAGAAGAGTATTGAACATACTATAAACTTCCAATAGAACAGATAGGTCTATCCAAGAGAGGGTAAAACCAAGTTGATCTTTGGAGGCAAGAATTTTTAATCTCTGTTTCACATACTGTGGACATATTTCCAGGAGGTACCAGTCCTTGGAGATGAACATCATACTTGGAAGGGTGTAGAGTCAGCACAGGAGAGAGAAACCCCAGAGACAGAGAGTTTTGTCAGAGACAGTGAGATTGGCTTGGAAAGGCAAGGTTCAGAGCCATTGTTCACAAGGTCACTATGAGTCATACTCAATAGCACAGAACAGCAAAACTAAAAAGAGCCAGTGTCTTTGAATTGTATTCTCAAGGAATAGTGAATAGACTATGGACAGCCACAAAAATAAGAAATCTGTCTTGGAAAGAGAGCAACCAGAGTCAAGAATGATGAGACTCCATCTCACACTTCAGGCATATTATCAGGAGGGACAAGTCTATGGAAAAAGACTTTTTGATTTTTTCATAATGTAGAACAGTAGATCAGAAAAACATGGGAAGATCTTCAGAGATGTACTGATACAGTGCCTACAATAACAGACTTGAGCATGAGAGACATTGTGAAGATGGTGCAGAATAGGGCAAATTTTCAATATGTTCTTCATAGTGTCTCTCTAACTCATAGTCAACTCCATGGAATTTAACAATTACAACAATTCACTGCATCATCTTTTTTTAAAAAAGCATCTTACTCAATTTCTACACCTAGTTCCAGAGACTTCCTTCCCAGGAAGCTTTCCAACCTGCCCCAACCAAGGGCTTTCTTCTTCTCTGGGATGCCCAAACCAATTTCTCCTTCTAGCCCCTTTACTGACCACATAAGTTGAGTCTCTGACCAGATCTTTCTCCCAATATTGGGAGTTGTTCCAGGATTGAGTCTTAAATGTGAAACTCCAGCAATGAGGGCAAAGCAAAGAGTGAGTTGAGGACCAATGAGTGCAGGAAAGAAAGAGAAACAGGGCTGAGGGAAGAGGAGGACTGAGGTCTCGCAGGTATCACCCAGGAAGCTGGAAAACCAAGAAGCACTGGCCATCAGATGTTGCAGTGGCACCCACCACCACAAGCTCTGCATGCATACCTGAGGCATTGACAACAGGCTTGGTGATGTCAGGGTGGCATAGACTGACAAGGGGACTGATAGGGCCAAACCAGGTCTTAAAGCCCTGTGGGTAGGTGGCTACCAGGCGAGTCACTTCCTGCAAACCCTGCTCCGTGGGGAGGACCTGCAAATAACCAAGAGTTGTCACCTCTACAGAAAAAGCCACAAGTTTCTGCCCATTGTTGATTTCTACAGATGGCAAGAATGTTGTTGGAAAGTTGTTGGAATTCTTAACTGAGGGAGGGACGCCTAGTCCAGTCCGAGAGATGAAGAGTTCCCTTGAAGTGGGAGAATCCTGAAGGCAGACCCCAAATCTAAGGGTGTACCCAAGAGCAGAGAGACAAGGAAAGCTGGAGAAGCAGAAGGTCAGCAAGACAGGATGGCTTGAGCATGGCAGGAATTGGGAGGAAGTTCAAGGGTAGGGCAAGGTTTACTTCTGTTCATAGGGTCATTCTGAGTTGAGATTGATTCAGAGGCACTTAACAACAATTGATCTGTAATCATGCAACAGAGATAGATGATATCTAAATGACTGAGCTGTTAGTTAATTGCACATAGGATAAAAGTCAGGGTACAGGTCAAAGAAGGCTTATCAAAGGGAAAGTAGTCAATCTTTATGCAGGTTGGGCAATATGTCCATTAATATATCTCAGGTTTAGAGGGCAAGACAGCAAGTAGAAGGTACTTCAGGAAGAGGACTAGTGCAGAGATTACCTGCACCTCTCCTCTAACCCAACTATGTCCTGGAGGTAGGGGAAGAAGGTAAAAGACTAACGTCTTAGAGAGGTGGGCATTGATCTGAGGGCAACAGAGGTTGACTAGAGGAAGGGGTGAAGTCTAGAGTGTATTACTGACAAGGTCCCCTATTAAGGATGTGGCTGTGAGAAAGTCAGACCTTTCAACTCTGCCCAGCCTGTCCAGCACCACCTTCCCATGGGAGCTTGAGGTGGACTGATGGGGGAAATACAGGAAACAATGACACCTAAATCAGAATAGTTGGTGGGAGGAAAGAATTAGAGAAATGGCTTACATTTGGGGGGAGATAGAGAGGAGTGAACTTAGGGGTGAAGCTGAAAAGAGAGGCTTCCCTCATTGTCCTTGCTTCACTCTATAGTCCTATACATATCCAGTCCCACATCCACCGCCCCCTGACCCAGACTGTCCTGGTCCTGACACCCCACCTCCATTCTGTTGCACCACTCACCATGCCCAGATGACCCAAGAACCAGTTCCGCATTGGAGGATGTGGGAAATGCCGGAGGTGGCTGTAATTGTCATAGAAAGCATAGGACCAGGCCAGTATTCTAGCCAGAAGCCAGGCAGCCCCAGCCAGCAGCAGGAGCAGCCATGGAGAGGATGTGCCAGTCCAGGATCCCAGCCATGACAGGTCCAGCAGTGACATCCTGCAAACAGAGGAGAAGTGACACTAATGGGGAATGTAGATGCCAGAAGGGTTAGAAAGTACAGGGAGGAGCTAAGGGTGTGGATTCTGGGATCAGGGGAGGAGTCAAGGATGTGGATTTCAGAGCAGTGGTAGGTAAACATAAAGACCAGAGAGGAGAGATAGAGATCGAAGGAAGGCCAGGAGAAGAAGTTGTTAGGTACCATGAATTCAAGACTCATAACAACCCTACAAGCAACAGACCCGATCCTCTCCTATCCTGTGCTGTCCTCATCATCTCTGGCACATTGGAGCCCTTTTCTGCAGTCACTGTGTCAATCCATCTCATTAGGGGCCATCCTCTCTTTCACGGACCATCACTAAGCATGATGTCACCTTACCAGGAATAGCCTCTAGCAACATGCCCAAAGTACGAGAGATGAAACTTTATCATCTTTACCTCCAAGGAGTATATTCTGGCTGCACTTTCTCCAAGATATAACCATTTGCTCTTTTGGCAATTCATGAGATAGTCATCAATTCTTCTTTTGCCATCCTCATTCACTGTCTAGCTCTCATATGCATAGCAAGCTATGGAAAAGATCATGTCCTGAATCAGGCACACCTTAATCCTCAAAAGACATTGTTGCTCTTCAGTATTTTGGAGAAGTCCCGGATAGTGGACGTGCACAACACAGTACATCTCCTGATCTCCTGACCACTGGTACCAAAGGCATTGATTATGGATACAAGCAAGATACAATAATTTTCAATTTCAGTCCTTTCTCTATCTGTCATATTGTTATCTATTGTTATTGTCCCAGAGGTGAGGTCTTTATTTTCTTGATGTTGAGATGTGGGAGGAGAGAGGGGGGGAAAGATGAAAAGATGTAGCAGAGAGGGAGAAAAAAGAGTCCAGAAGTCCCATCTCCAACTACAGTCCTAGGGAGACTGTCAGAAAAGTCCCTTACCTATTTCACCATTGATCTTCTCTCTCCCTGAAGTTTACCAGTTAGTTAACTGGCAGTTAACTTCAGTTAAGTCCTACCTGGCTGTCCTTAAGTAGCACTATTCTATCCAGATCAAGACTCAGCCCCACTAACCTACCTTGGCTCCTTCTGTCTCCAGAGGCTTACATTGCCCAGTCTTCTCTTCACTCCTCCTTGGACCTCTTTGCCCCTGCACCTGCTTCTCTGGGCACAGCTGGGAGGTGTTGTCCCAGGACAGTCAGACCTGCAGCTTTTGCTCCCAACTACCTGCTAAGAAAAATCCTAAAGCAGCAATGAAGATGAAGGGATGGGTTGCAGGGGTGGCCATGAAGGCTGAACTGACGCCTCAGATTCCAAGAGTGAGCTGAGGATCCTGGAGACCCAGCACATTTCTAGACGGGAAGGGCAGAGGGAGAAAAGCAAAGGTTACTCAGAGCTTCAAGTTTATTGCCAGCCTAACCCTTCCCTAGCCAGGGTGTGGCCAATAAAAGTCTGAAAGCTGTTGCCATGGTCATCTAGTTCTTCAGAAATCTCTCCACGTGAATACAATCAGAGGCATTAAGAGCAAAGAAACAGCCTCACCTCACAGGGATTATCAAAATCAGAATCTGAGGTAAAGGGCAGAGATGGAGAGAGGACATCTGGAAGTTATGGCCCAGAAGAATATGAAGAGGAGTAGTTACAAGGATTGAAACGAGACTGTTGGCTTCCTGCTCTGAATCTGAACTGTACCAGCCCTTCTCTGAACCTCACAGGACTCTGGTGGACATAGAGATTTGTACTGCTAACCCAGAGGTGCATGTGTCCAGTAGTTCAAATCTGCAATCTACCTCCATGTGATTTACAGCCTCAGAAACCCCCTAGAGAGTCAAGATAGGAATTTATTCTGGCTCTACAAAAATAAGAGAGAGCATTTCGCCGAAGCTCAGTTTTACTGGAAAATGGCACATCAGATGGAAACCTTGGGAGAGACAGGGGTGGGCTCCACAAGAAAGGGAGAAAGATAATGAACCCCAAACAAAGAATTAGGACCTGAGTCCTCTGCACCTTTTGGACCAGGTATTCCACATTCTGTGTGCCTGCTGCATTCCTCAATTTACCTGGTCCCAAATTATCCTGTGGGGTGGTTTTTTTTAATGTTGTTGTTGCTCTGTTGTTGATTGTTATCAAGTCAGGCATGACTCATAGCAACCTTATGAAAAAAAAGACCTGAAGCCTTTCGATGACTAACCTTTCTCAAAGTTCATGGAGTTTCCAGAGGTATGTTGTTTAGGAAGTGGATGCCATTGAGTCAGAAATTAAAAGAGGGATTCCCAGCAGAAATTCTCAACAAGAGAGTGGATCAAAGACTATCTTCCAATGACTTTTTGGGTATTGTTGTTATTGCGTACCATCAAGTCAGAACCGACCCATAGCTGACACTACAGCAGGTTTTCAGAGGCAGCAATTCATATGGGAAAAGACTTTCTTCTGTAAAGGAGCTGGTGGATTCAAATTGCATGTCTTTGGGAGGGGGGCCCACCAGAGTTCCTTACAATACCCAATGCAGTCTATCAAGGCCACAGTGTCCAGAAGTCTGTTCCTAGAGCCTTCATGGAGGTGGAATAAGATCCCCTATCCTAGAATCTCCAGTCCCTCTGTTGAGGCCAGCTTCATCTAGGGCTGGGCAAGGACAAGGAAGGACAGGGCTTGATAAACCAGGCAAGGTCCTGGGAGATGGAGAATAAAGAATTCCAGGTGTTGAAATTATTCAGCTTACTGTAGACCTATTATGTACCTGAGACAGACACAGAGAAGACCAAAAGCAGAGAGTGGTGTGCCTCACCAGCCCTAGCCACCATTAGTCACTGAACCACTTTCATGTCTTCTAGCGATATCTACAATTGCTTTATTAGTCTTACAATGATAAGGAGAGCAACGTTAAAAAACAAATATAAAAGCAACTTTTCAGTTGGCACATGACTTCACCTGCTGTGTCCTTAACCATTAAGCTTGTACTATCTATTTTGCTTGTGTAATTGGATCTCTCTCTCTCTCTCTCTCTCTCACACACACACACATACACACACACACACACACACACACACACACACACACACACACACACACACTGTGAGTGAAGATTATAGGGGAAAATGATGTCTCATTCATAAACATTTTTATCACATTAATTACAATACAATGTAACCATATTCTTCCTCCTTCCTCCCTATCAAGCTCGTTTCCATTAATCCTTCTATCCTACACCTTCCTAGTTTCTGAGCTTTATATGTGGGGCAACACTACCATGAATGCTTCCCTGGTATTACTGTTCATCTTACAGACCGGTTAATTGCAAGTTGAGTGATGGTAGTAAGGCATTGGTTTTGGTCTTGGCTGAGTTTTTTTAATCTATTTTTTTTTTTACTGTTACATTAGTTTGAATACAAAGCTTGTATGCAATGTGTTTCACACTATCCTTCATTAACACTGTATTTCATACATTGTCATTCATTATGTTTTGTTAAATCAATCACCATTAAATAACGCCCATTACTACCCTGTCTTTCCGATTCCACTGAATCTTTCCCATTTCCTTTACCCACTTCTCCTATGAATTTGTGCAACCCTATGCTTTCCCCCCTGCCCACCCTCACCCTTTTGTTCCCATCCTTTGCCCCCTAGGATTCCCATATAAACTTATCCTTCTAATGGATGGTGAAGAGATTGAGATTGTTCACAGCTTTAGTCTGCTTTGCTCCACAGTCACCACTCTTGGCACCAGTAGCCAGGAAATTAAAAGATGTATTGCGATGAGAAAGTCTGCTGTATGGACCTTTCCAAAGTTCTGAAGCGCAATGGTGTCTCTCTGGAGACTAAGGTGCATCTGATACAGGCCATGGTCTTTGCAATTACTTGTTATGCATCAGAGAGTTGGACAATGATGAGGAAGGATAGAAGGAGATTTGATGCCTTTGAGCTGTGGTGCTGGAGAAGAGTATTGAGGGTACCATGGACTGCTAGGAAAACAAACAGATTCATCCTAGAGAGGGGTAAACTGGGATGCTCCTTGGAGGCAAGAATTCTGAGGCTACATCTAACATACTTTGGACATGTTGTAAGGAGAGACCAGTCCTTGGAGAGGGGCATCATGCTTGGGAGGATGGAAGGACATCGCAGGAGGAGAAGGTCCTCTATGAGGTGGATTGATTCAGTGACTGGGGTAATCGGGATGGGTGTGTCGGAGACAGTACAACTGGCACAGGATAGAGCAGAGTTTAGGGCTGTTGTACATAGGGTCACTATGAAACACAAGTGACTCGACGGCACATAACAACAACAATAACAATGCTCTTATGCAGTATTTGTCCTTATGAAACTCAGTTCACTCAGCATAATGCCCTCAATTCTCTTACAAGTTATATAGTAATTTTCAAAGTCATTGCTCCTGAATGCTACATAGTATTCCATCATGTAAATGTACCACAATCTCTCAATCCGTTCTATTATAGTTGGACATTTGGGCTGTTCCCATATTCTTGTGATGCTGAATAACGCTGCTATGAACATTAATGTACAAATCTCCATTTGTGTCTCAGTTCTAATTTCCTTGAGGTATATTCCTAGGAGTGAAATTGCTGGATCGTATGGATTATCTATGTTCAGCTTTTTGAGGAAACATCAAAATACCTTCCAGAGTGGTTGTACCATTTTCCAATCCCACCAACAGTGTAGGAGAGTTCTCACCTCTCCACATCCTCTCCAACATGTATTGCCTGCTGGATGGAGGTAAGTTTTGTTCCAGGTTCAAAAGGTGACTAAGGGTAATAGTCATAGGGGTTCCATCAGGCTGTCAGACCTGTAAACCCTGTCCATTTATGAAGTTTTGAGTTTTGTTCCTAATTCTCCCCCCGTACACTGTTCAGGATCTCCCACTTCGATGCCCCTTACAGCGGTCAGCTGAGATTCGTTCCTCTGGTGACTTGGTTTAGGGGTTGGTGCTTATAAGGCTTATTAGCCCTTTAAGTTTATTATTTCTTTTCATCATTGTTT